GGATTAAGAAGTACAATACAGGCAAGAGAATGTAAAGTACAGCATAGAGAATATAGTCAATAATATTGTAATAACTATGTATGGTGTCAGATGGATACTAGACTTACTGGGGGGATCACCTTGTAAGTTGTACAAATGTCTAACCATGATGCTGTACAGCTGAAACTAATATTAAATGTCAACTTTAATTTTTTCTTTAAAGCATGGATTCTGGGGTCAAAAAGGCCTGGATTTACCTCTCAGCCTTGCCACTTAATAGCTGTGTGCTGTTAAACAATCTCTTTAAATTTCTGCCCAAGCTTTCCTCATCTTTTAAATGGGGCTATAATGCTTTTTTTCCTAGGGTGCAATAGCATCAAAAGAATACTTGCACGTTGCCTGGCACAGAATAAGTGTTCAATAGAAGTTCCGGTTGGTGTGACAACATTACACAGAATCCATCGCACAGCTACTTTGCTAGAAAGGTCTCAGGGAAAGTCTTGCCATTGCTATCGTTCCTTAAATATATATATATATATATATTTTTCCCCATCAAACAGTAGACACACCAGGGGAGATAGCAAGGGAGTTGTTAATTGAATCAGCCCATTGTGCTTAAAACAGGCTGGGTAAGAATTAATAGGGGAAAGAAAAGTTATAGAAACATTCAGAGTGAAGGCATCTGGGAAGCCCAGATGAGGTAGCATGTGGGTATTAGGGGTCAGGAAGGAGAAGAAAAAGGGAGAGAAGCTGAAAGCTTTGACTTCTTTCCAGTTCTGTCCAGGCTGCCTCTCCCTCAGCTCAGCTCTGGTTTCACATGACAATTCATTGAAAGGTAAATATAATGTTCACAAAAGCAGGTTATACTAACAAGCAATGCAAATGTAAGGGATTGTTGTTATTACTTTGTATATGCAGCATATTCAAACATATCTACCAAACATTCCCACTAGTGAAAATTAGCATCATGATTAGGCTAGGTGCAGTCAAAATTTAGATACATGGCTTTTGAGCTAAGGAATGGGTATGAAACACAGCCATTTGCTCTCTTTTAGATGGGCCCTGACTAATCACACTTAACTGGCTTTAGGCCTGGGGTGGTGAGGACATAAAACAGAGGCAAGGAAGGTTCTTTCCCACAACACTGCAGCCTTAAGCTCTGAGCTTAGACATTCATTTCTAGTAGAACACAGCCCTGGGTTAGTCTTACTCTGAATTCTAGGACGCCAAGGGCACTAAAAGAAGATATATTACTTTCCTTACAGGAATGTTGTGAATATTAAATAAGAGATGTCTATGTACCAAGGATAAAAACTTTGAATACCCATAGAAAAACTGCTCCAAAGGGCAAGCTTCAGAGTTAGATAGAACATGGTTCAAATCCTAGCTCTGCCACTTACCAGCCTTAGGAAGTCAACTCATTTGTTATGTTATTTATTTTTTATTGACTTTTCATTATTCTATTTATTCATTGACCACATAAGTACAGAACCAAAGTTATTGATCAAAATGTTACTGATGATCTACTTTGCACCAGACACAGTGCTATAGATACAGAAATGAACAAGAGTGACAGAGTTCCTGTCCTTCTGAAGATGGTATTTTTATGGGAGAAAAGAAATGAAGATAATGAACATCTTGAGCATCAACATTTTAAAGGCCTCCCAGGTGATTGTAATGAGGGTCAACAGCCACGGCTCAAACGTCAGAACCTGACAGTCATCCCACGGACAATCCCTGAGCATCAACTGTGTGCCAACTGTCTTCTAGAGGTTTGGGGTTCCAACGAGAAAAGTAAGGAAGAAGGAAATTTAAAAAAAAACCCGGCTAAAAGAACATTATGCAGTCATAAAAAAGAGTGAGGTCTTGCCACTGATAACAACTGTGCTATGGGCATAATGGTAAGTGAAATATGTCAGACAGAGAAAGATGAACACTGTTTGATCTTATTTATATGGAAGCTAATAAAGTAAAACAAAACAGAACACAAACCCAAGAGAACAGATTGGTGGTTGCCAGAGGCAGGGGTGTAGGGAGTGGGGAAAATGGGTAAAGAGGATAAAACGGTACAAACTTCCAACTATGAAATAAATGTCATGGGGATATAATGTACAGCATAGTAACTATTAATAATACTGTATTGTATATTTGAAAGTTGCTTAGAGAATAGATCTTAAAAGTTCTTATTATAAGAAAAAAATTTTTTGTCACTATGTAGGGTGATGGATGTTAATTAGACTTATTGTGGTGATCATTTTACAATACATACAAATATTGAATCATTATATTATATACCTGAAACTAATAAAATGTTAGTTATATACATTATTGTATTATATTATACACTATATAATATGTTGATGTTATTTTACTTTATTATATTAATATATCACATATAATATGATATAAATATATTAATAGTCTATTGTTATTATATTAAAGTCAGTTAATACTTTAAGAAAAACTAAGATTACAAAACCAGTAAATGGTGGAATGACGATTTGAAACTAGAAGCTCCTGTGTCTATGCTCCTCGTCATTGTCTTATACTGTCTTATAGATGATAAATGGGAGGCCTAGGATGCCCAGGAAACCCTAATCTATCTCTGGGGCCAGAAAAGGATACTCTGTGGAAGTGAGGTTTAAGCTGTGATTAAGAGGAGTCTAGGCAGAGGAAACAGTGCGCAATGACCCCAGCTAGGAGAGAACAGAGTGTGTTCCAGGAATTAACTGGGCAGTGCAATTCAAATGGAGAGAGCAAGAGGCAAGCTGGAAAGGGGACTAATGCCAGAGCCCTTTCCCTAAGAGCACTTGGAAGCCTTAGGGTTTCTGTCGGGGAAAGATTCCTCATGAGAACTCTGCTGCCTGGGGAACCGAGATGGGAGCAGGTCAAGAGTGGATTGCAGGAGGGATGGTTTCTTTTTAACTTCAGCTTTCAGAATCAACTTATAGACAATGGTTCTCTTCCAAGGATGGTGTAGCACCTCTGAGCCATTTGAAATGTGTGGAAATAATTTAGGTTGCTGCAGATGTTAAAAACCCAGTAATGTGAGGAATGGCCCCCAAAGGCCATCATCCGAATGCAAAGGGGGCCCACACTAGGAAATCCAGCCATCGGTAAAGCCAGAGACTTCACTGTAGAAATAGAAATGTTATAAGTCATGATAATGGAAAAGCAATTGCATAGCTGAGAGACTTTGAGAAATGGAGAGGGTCAAAGAGGTAAAGGGAAATGTAAGGGTTGAAAGTTTATTCATCTTCCATAGTGGGTGTTAAGAGACACTCTAAAGTTTATGGGTCCAAAAATAGATGGTTAAGTGATTTAAAGTTATAAAGGGAATGGAGAGAAAAGTAAAAAAAAAAAAATACAACTATAACTAAATTGTGAGGAGAAAGAAAAGGAGAAGAAATGTTACAATATAAATAAGCTAAATTCCTTATTTTTCATAGCAGGGAGTCAGCAAATTCTGCCAAAGTTAATGAATCAAGAAATGAAGGTGGAAATACAATATTTAACATTATAGAGGAAACCATCAGAAAATAAAAAACGGAATCAAAGTTTGAGTTCAGGGTAGGGAGTGGTAAGGGAAAGTCTGACCTTTCATTTTCTCCCTTCTCTGAAATACTGTTTGTATGTTATTTCCATCTGTATATGTTAACATCAGTGAACTTTAGTTTCCTACTTAATGCATGCCTCTGTGGTGGATGTCAAAGGTCTCTCGTTCTCTGAGGAGCTGGTTCTCTTTAGCAGGGACCTGTGGAAACTACGGGCCACTTTCAGACATGTGTGTCGAGTTCTGTAGTGTCCCATCTGCTCATAGGCACTGGGAAGTTTCTTTCGAGGCTAGGAGTACTTCCCTAGGCCCCCACCCCCTGCCCCAGGACTCCCTCCATGTTTCCTTCAGTGACTGGGGAGGAAGGGTGCAGTTGCTGGGAGCAACGGAGATCAGCCTAAGAAGAAAAGGGAAATTCTCTGAGGCACCCTTATTTGCTGGAGGGCTTGCTTCCATTCCATGGGAGTCAGGTAAGAGCAGGGACTCACTCTAAAGAAATGGGCAAATTCCTAAACAACCCTTGTGTCTGTGAGTAGAAGATATGGGGGAAAGGGTGGAGTGGGGTGGGTGGGGGCAGGAGGTGGAATCCTGCAGGGTCTGAACCTTAGCCCTGCAAATACCAGGGCAGCGGAGCCTTTTTTTATCACTCTTTTTTATATGTCCAATTGGTAGAACCCCTCCTCGGCTCTTCTCTATTGCTTTTCTGTGGAAGTGAGGTTTAAGCTGTGATTAAGAGGAGTCTAGGCAGTGACAGTGGGCAATGATAGCGATAGTGAGATCATATGCTGTTGGTGGCTTTCATGCCTGCATCTGAATTTTCTGTCACCTGTGACCTCAAGGGTGAATCTGAGCCTTGCTTACCTTTATATGCCCTGCACTGAGCATATACCTAATAAACGCCGGTTGAATAAAGGAATAAATAAACAAATGGATGAATGAATAAATAAATGAAAGCCAATGAATGAATGAAATGCTTATTATACCCCATTTTCAAAACATTAGCAAAACAGAGTATGGAGTACAACAAAAATTCCATTAATTTCTGGTGCATTCCTGATTGTGTCAATCTGGTGCAAGTCTGCTTGTTTGTGTATTTGTGTGTGTATTTGTGTGTGTGTGTGTGTGTGTGTGTGTGTGTGTGTGTGTGTGTGTGAACTGTGGTTTCAAACTAAAGTTTAGCTGTTAAACTTGGGCTGTTAACATATCCCCCATTTTTTGACTATCCTCAGGGAATCTGAGACACAAACAACAAGCAAACTCCCTAGGTGGCCATGATTCTGAGACACAGAAAACTGGAAAGAGCTGAAGGATATAATTGTGCGTGGCTGGGGACAGCATGTGGGTGTGGGACTGTCAGCTTGAACAGAAGAAAAATAACTTGCCACCAGTGGAAAATAATTAAACAGAAATTCATTAATCCAGACCAGCAACTGCAAATGAACAAAGGATTGTGCTGGTCCCACTGTACCTTGGTAGGCATGGGCTTTTTAAAGGATATTTCCACTTGCATCCAAACACCCCTTGGGGACTCCAGCACGGACCAGATCTTCTCTTGAACCACGTGGTTCTCTTCAAAGATATAAACGGCTAGGGTGTCACTCATTTTTAAAAACCCATAGATAGCGTAATAAAAACGTAGGCAATACTGCAAGTTTCCCGGCAAGGTGGTACCATAGAGCCTTCCAATGTAGCCAGGCTGAGATGTAAACTTTGTGTTGGCCAGCAAAAAATATCCTGTGAACATGACAAAGCAGTCAGTGTATCAGCAATGAAAAGTTTAAATAATCTAACCCAGGTAAACAAATGGAAGAATTTCGTTCAAGTAGTAGAATTTGTCAAAAGACTATTTCCACAGACTTTAAATGGTAAAGCATTTTCTAATATTCATGGTTTAATAATAGAGTATACTTATACTATATTGCCAATAAACTTCCAATTCTAAGTAAACTTCATAAACAAGTATAGATTTCCAAATGCGTATGCCCAGATCATGGTCATCAATCAGGATTTATAATTTTCATGATCATGGGCCAACCAGCTACTGAGTCACAGCGAACATAAAGACCAGAGCAAATTTTTCCTTCTCTCTGCAGCGACCAGTAGAGATGGAGAGATTACAGGCTGGCCTTGCAGTCCTGGTCTTATGTTAAACCTGACCCTGAAGAACAGGTTTTTAATCAGATGGACCTTCCCAGATGCTGAAGTTCTGTATTCTCCTCTTATTCTTCCTAATAACATAAAGAAAAATAAAATCAATAACCTCCCTCCTACCTGCTCCACCGCCTCCACAGTAAACTTAAAACAAGTCTATGTATCTTAGAAAGCCTGGGCAGAGAAGAAAATGATAATACATGAAGTCCTTACCTAAAGTCATAGATAGGTTCTGTGACTTAAGTGAAAAGACATTAAGAAAAAAAGTTTTACCATAGGTTCATTGATGTGTACAAGAGTTATGTTCCTCTGGCATCTCATCAATGTTATAGCCAAATGAGGTAGACTGAAATGGCATTATTTGAGGACCTGCTGTACTCTAGATTTTTTCTTTTCCTTTTCTGCTCCTTCCTTATTAATTTTTTTGGGTGCCTCAGTCTTTGCTATAGAGTTTAGTTTTACCCAATTATTTAACTCATTTAGCAAAAAGTTCTGTGGTATTTCACAGGAGTGGTATTGTGAACTGAATTGTATATGAATATGTTGAAGCCCTAACCCTCAATGTGACTGTATTTGGAGAGAGGACCTTTAAGAAGGTAATTAAGGTTAAATGAGGTTATAGTTGCGGGGTTTTAACAGGACTGATATCATAAGAAAAGGAAGAGACACCAGAGATGTCTCTCCATGTGTACACACACAGGAAAGGCCATGCGAGGACATGCTGAGAAGGTGCAATCTACAAGCCAGGCAGAGAGGTCTCACAAGAAACTAACCCTGACAGCACCTTGACCTTGGACTTCCAGCCTCCAGAACTGTGAGAAAATAAATTTCTGTTGTTTAAGTCTCCCAGTCTGTGGTATTTTGTTATGGCTGCCCAAGCAAACAGATAACCAAATGATAGCGAGCAATCTCTCTGAAACCTAAATTTAATCACTCCTTTCTCTACGTAACACCTTTCAATGGCTTGTCATTCCCTTTAGGATAAAACCCCAAGTGCTTACTCTGGCCTGCTACACCCGTGATCTATCTCCCTCTGTAACTTCTTTTCCTGTGTTCTCCTCCCCGTGGTGCAGCCACGCTAACCTACCCACCCCCTGGAGTGTCCAGCTCTTTCCAAATTCGAGGTCTGCACAGGTGCTGGTCCCTCTGCCTGGATGGCTCCCACTCTCCTGGCTGATAACCACTTTCCTCGGAAGTGGATTCCCTGAATCCCCAATCAATTTTCTCTCAGAGCTCACTCTTCATCATTTCTTTTTATGGCATTTACCACAGGTTGTGATTATGAGTTTATTTGTGTATATATTTGTCTAATTTTTCTCCCGTCTACTGAAATGATCGTCAGCCAGAGAGCACAAGCTTCATACCTGACTAGGGCACTCCTGTGCCCCGAGAAGGTAGTCTGGCCAAGATCAGAAGAGGTGTTTGTAGGCCCTATGTTTCAACAAGTTAAGCAACCTCTGAAAAAATAATACACAATCCCAGTATAATATTGCAAAGGCCCCTTGCAAGGTTTTTCCTCTGGCCCATGCCAGGGAGGAGCCCTGAAACCTAAGTTTCATCAGCTTTCTGGTAAATTCACCCCAGTGCCCAATGTATACATAATTGTTGAATAAATAAATGAGACACTAACCCTTCGAGAACCAGCCCTTTCTTCTAGTTTCTACCGCAGTGATCTCTGTAAGGGAGGCCATTAAGCCATATGCAATCCTTATACAGGGAGCTCAAACTGGTTTCTAAGAGTCCCTTGTAGATATACCCATCAAGTGCCCACCCAACATTTCCAATAGCTTTTATTCCTCCCTAACATGGTTTTTATTGTAGTAAAATGCCCATAACATAAAATTTACCATTTCAATCATTTTCAAGTATACAATTCATTGGCATCTAATACATTCATTACGCTGCACAGCCACCACTGCTATTTGGTTCCAGAACATTTTCATCACCCCAGAAGGAAATTCCGTACCCATTAAACAGTAACTCCCCATCTCCCCCTCCTAGCCCATGGCAACCACCAACCTTTTCATCTGCAAATTGCCTGTTCTGACTATTTCATATAATTGGATTCTAATAGTTTTCAAAAGGTACTTCTCCATTTAAAGTAAAGAGCAAGATAATTTCCAAAAGTTTAACTATTATTTAATTGGCAAAAACTTTTGCTAGCCCAGCAACTTGAATTCCAATTTAAAAAATGGTCAAATACCATTTGTCTTTGCTTCTTTACAGCTGCCTTTTTTAAAGTGGGTGCCTTGGTAGGTGTAGAATAAGAATGGACAACGGAGCATGAACACTTTCCCCTTTCCTCTCCTTCACCATTCCCCCCGACCAAAGCCCCACATGGACAGATTTCTGGTTTACCTAAGCCGGAAGTGTGGTCACCAGCCCGATACATGTTTGGCTTTACTTTTACTCGGGTCCAACCCGGACCTTCTTTATCTTGGTAAAAGTTGCAGAGACCGTCCTCAAAATTGCAGCTTGCTGCCAAGGCATTGAAAGGAAACTCTGAGAAAAGGAGAAATAAAGTTAAAGCAGGCTCAAAACAAGGCTTTCAAAGGACTACATCAACTGATTGACAAATATGTACACATTTGTGCCAGGGGAGACCGGAGAGTTAAAACACAAGAAAATATTTTTACCCTAATGGCACGCTGACAGGTTAGCATCAAACCAACATGTCAGCATGGCAGGAAAATTGTTCTTTCCCGTCCCTAAAGGGATGGAAGGAGGGAGTTATTTTTATATTCTATATAAAAGACTTCAAAAGAAATATCTTTTCATGCTGTAAAGATTGCGAGCATTTATTCATATACTTCACAATTTGAAATTCATTCATACAAATTTCAAAGATAGAAAGAAAGAGAAAAGGTATAGATTTTAGGAAATTCTTAATTTCTCTTTAAGACATATATTTTAGAAATAATCTTTTTCAGAAATAATTTTCCTTCGTTGATTAATCTGTGTCCGAAGCACAGCCACTCTCTATTTATAATTGACATTTGTAGTAGGAGCTGATCTGGAAGAAAATCATTACTTAGTGTAAATCATGCTGTTCAAAAAGATACACCAATTCTGTCACCCATACTACTATTATTTGGGCTTTTGCTGAATTCCAGTATCATTTACTTTGGTTTATAGATATTACCTCATCCCAGATTTCTTGGAGGGAATGGAATACAAAATATTTCTGTTCTTTTAAGAATAACTTGTCCTAGCAACAAGTGATTGCACATCTCACTGTTCTGATTGCTTTTGAAGCCCAGAGGGAATGTGACAGTTTCAGATACACTAGCCAAGTGCGATCCTGTTCTGCATGCTGACATCCACTGGTCTAATTTTTTAGGGCAAGAGAGAGGGAGACACTCTTGAATCCCTGGAAAACCATCCCTACAGGGACATTTGTATCCTGGGAGCAGTGATGTGATGAAACAGGCAGCTGTTTAGAGACAAAGACTCGGTATACTCTCAGTTTATCAGTTTCCAAAGCAAGAAAACATAAAAGGGGGCTGAGGAGCTGGCCCAGACCAAGGTGACAAAAGAGGCATGACAACCAAATGCTACAGAGAGTCAAAGATTCAACCTTGGCCCAGGAAAGCCAACAGCTATAAATGACATTCTTGAGGACACTGGCAAATTAGTATATGGGCTATAGTTTAGTTGATAATACTCAATCAGTGTTAACTTTCCTGAACTTAATAATTATGTTGGAGAATGTGTTTGGTTTTAGAAAATGCACACCAAAGTATTTAGGGGTAAAGGGGCATAATGTCCACAACCTACTCTTAAATGGTTGATAACGTAAATATCGTAAAATGTTAACAATTTGTACTATACACCTAAGTAAAGAGAGTATATGGGAGTCCTTGATAGTATTGTTGCAAATTTTGTCTGAGTTGGAAATATACAAAAATAAAGAGTTATAAAAACACTAAATTAGGAAAAAAAAGTGACTAACATCACAAAGACAATAATAGGAAGACAATGTTCCTGCATAACTGGAACCTGATTGTGTCTCAGATGATACGCCTTAGCAAGTGCACAGAATGAGCACCCAGATAGGAGAAAAGGAAGTGAGGAGAATCCTCGGCTCTGAGACTGGTGGATTGGCCCCCACACTGCTCTGCCTCACTCTGCCAGGATCAGGGAGTATCTTTAGGCCACAAAGTCAGTCTTTCAAAAATGACAATGACCTCATACAAACAAGGATCCTTTGACGTCCCTCCATGGAGATTTGATGTCATGGGACACCCCACAATGGTCTCCAGCCTTAGTCACCCCTCTGCCACTGAGTAATGAAAAAGTGGATGAAAATTTAAAATCTACAGATGGCTGTCTAGCTCAGAAAATTGTGTGGCATTCTGCAAAGCCATGCTCAATGAGAACAGCAGGTCAGTGAAATTACTCATCAGGAGTGTATAGCAAGAAATATACCCCTGGGTGGCCACAAGAGAACCATAACCCATTTATTAAGTATATAGGAGAGGGTGGGAGGTGGTATTAAAAGCTGAAAGTAAGCAAGGATCAGTTCTCTCCATGGTGACAAACTGAGTCATACAGAAAAGAATTTTTTTTTGAGGATGAGATCAATATCTAGTCTTAAAAGTGGATTTGTCCAGAATCTTGAGAAGGTCTGATAAAAAGAAAATCTCAAAAGCATATACCCAGAATGCTTTTTTGACCAGCAGATAGTCTTTAATCCCTGAAGATAGGGCCTGAGGGCCTGTCTGTGGCCTAATATAAGCTCCCCAGAGATCTGAGGTGGGAGAGCCATTGCTTCGAGCTTGTTTCAGAAGCATTTGGTCAAGTGGGACCACAACTGAGCTACTGTGGAATGTTAATGACATATTTGAAGCACAAGAAGGAGTCAGGCAGTTGGAAACTCCTGAGCAGTAGCTCATCAGAAAACAAGTTCCCCAACAAGTTACCAATAAGCATTATAATGTAAGATTTAGTTAATCCCTTGCTTTCGGACATTTGAATTTTTAGAAATGAGAGGCTTTGAAGATAATCTGATCAGATGGAGGGTCCTGTCATTTGAGAAGAATTGTTGAGGATGTGTTTCTCATCTTTTGCTCCGCTTCTTGGAGTTCACTCAGATGAAGTCAGTGTCAGCCCTGGAGAACTAAAAGGCTCATCAGCCCCTGTGGTGCTGGAGGGATTTGGGGTATTGTGTGCCTTTTCGGCTGCTGAATTTGCAACAGTGGTTTTATTGTAGCACAAGCCAGCCGGAAAGTAGGCTGAGACAGCTCAAAGCTCGTTTGGGGAAGAGACTGAATGGGACCTGGCACCAGACAAAGGCATCATGATGGAGCAGATGCTGGGCCAGTGACCAGCCTGGGGAGGTGCTTCAAGGCCTCTGAGCTAAGGAAGACTGTGGCAACTTCAGCTGTAATGAAAACAACAATTGGAGCCAGGTTTCCAATGGAACAAGAGGTCTGGGTAGCATGTTGATATTGGTGAATAACAACATTGGTCAAGACCGGGATTTAGAGACATCCTTTGAGACATATCCATGAGTGTCAGGCCCCTCCCAAGTCCCTGGCCTGGGTATGGGGTGGACCCAACCTCAGAGAGGAGGCTGGGCCTGCACAGTCAGAGCAGTGAAGCTTTCCGTTTGGGGTTGAGCATTGAGGTGGGATTCCTAGAAGTGAATGGAATCACCTGTCAGATATGCAAGGATTAACAGCCTTAAAACAGAGCCTATTCCTATGATCTATTTTAGACTTTAGATCTAATGGTGGAAGGGAGAGTTTTTTGGGAGAAAAAGCTTGGAGAGGGAAGTGCTGGAACTTAAAGTTGGGGGAGTGGGGAGGTCTTGCTGTCTTCCAGAGCATTCTGGGGAAATACTTGGAGAGCAACATGACATTGGGCTTTAACCCCTGCGACTCTGTGGGGGGGCGGTCTCAGTTCAGGAAAACTGGATTAATTCTAAACCCAACCAGATTGTAGAAATGAAATGCTTCATGTGCTGAAACAATTCCTGTCTTGGCCTACTAGGGAGGTGAGGGGAGATGCTAGATCCAGCTGGGAAAAACAGAGACAACAAGTCTGGAGCTAACGAAGATAAAACAAAGTGTTGGCACCTGTTATGAAACAGATGGGCATAAACTATTTGTGAAGTGTAAGATGAAGTTGGAAAACCAAAGGGCTCAGCTTCTGAGACTCAGAATCTGGCTCGCAGCTGCTTAATGAGACACAAAGCCGCTCCAGCTTCCTCATTCATCGAGTCAGTGCCCTTTGCTGCTTCTCTTTAGTTTCAATCTGAGCCCCTGGTCTCCAGAGAATGGGTGGGATTATTTTGAAAATTAAGTAAATAATATTAAGTTTCATGAACAAACATTTTCTGTGTGGCATAATCTGCTAAAGCCTTCACAGACATTAACTTATCAATCCGACAGCACTATGGAACAGATTCTTCCATCCTTGTCATATAAACGTGGAAAGAGTCACAGAGAGGTTAATTAACAAGGCCAAGGTCACACAGCTTGTAAGTGGCCAAGTAGGGATGTGAATCCAAAGTCCTGGCTCTCAAGCATAACACTAGGATCACGTGTTTAAACAATTTTAAAAGCAAAGTTGGTATGTTGAGAAGTTCTGAAGACCAATTTGGAGTCTTGTTTGACCTAACTAAATAAAAATGTGAATTTCTGGTGGTCCTTGTGGAGGAAGGATCTTTATGAAGGCTGGATTTACAGACTGAAGTGCCACCACACCTTTTAGTAAATGGCCCTTATTTTGCTGGATTCTCCTTTCCTTTTATCAGTCAGTAGGAAGGAGCAAACATATATTCTGTCTCTTTTTAAAAGGGAGAGTATTTCCAAACATTACTTCTAAGGTGGCTCAATAGATTCAATGACCTCCCAGCTGCCTCTTCACTGGACTCACTATATGGTACAGACACTCAATAAACACCCCTTCTTACACACATGACACTTGGAAATATAAATGTTCAATGTAAATGCTTAGTGACAAGAAAAACTTTCTAAAAATAACGATAAAGAGGTTTTGAAACTGCTATTAACATCACTGAAATATTAACTGGAGATGGAATTAGGGAACAATCAGTTTTAGAGAAGTAAAACAATTTTGGTTTTTGTGTTCTGCCAAATTTAGAGACTCTTTTAGTCTTTGATTACAGTTTAAATAATTTTCATGAAAATATGTAAATCCAGTCTGGTTCATTCTGTTTCACTAGTTTTTATTTAAAAATTAGAATTAGTAAAACTAATATTTGGTATCAGCAAATTAGTACATCTCTCTAATTTTGGGGTGACAGTTTAGCCTGAGAGGAAAATATTATCTTTCTTAGTCCCCTTGGTTGTGGAATATATCTGAAACCATATCAAATTCTAGATGAACTCTATCTTAAGTGGAAGCCAGACTATAAAGGTCAAGTTCAAAAATGTATTTTCCATGCTTCAGACCCAACAGGAGGGCTCAAAAATAAAATGGGGACACCACAGTGTCTCCCTGGGGCCTCTTAAGGAAACAAAGTCACTAAAAGGTAAGGCCAATTGCGTTTATCTGCGTTACCATTAATAAAGTGTCTGACTTATTTTAAAACATTTGTTTTCTAATTCACTTTGAATTCATTTGCTTACCTATTTTTCCAGAAAGTAAAAATGTCTTCTCTTTTCTAAATACCAAGTTTATGGAAATTACAAAATTAGCCATGATAAAGTAACCTGAGGGTTTACTTAGAGAATTTAAATTGAAGGCATAATATTTAGTGAAAAATCATCATAGATATATATACCAAACACTAATGTCTTTAAACATGAGGATATTTATAGGTCTTGGATACATAAAATTGGAGTTTTCATAATTCCACTTAGTAGATATTGAGATTTTTTTCTACCTCTACATCCATCTGTCTATGAACCCAAGATAACCATTGAAGAGAAAATTGGAAAAAGAATGACTATTATTTAATTTTCACTTGCTGAAAATTAATAGGTAGGGTAGATGAAAATTCCTGAACACTTGACAAGGGCCTGTGGTGTCAGAAGAATTAGATTCACTCTGTGAGAAGAAAAAAAAAAAGTAACCAGAAAAATGGCTATTGAGTTAAATAATTTTTTAAGGATGAGATAATAGGAAAGGTAAGGACATTAGAAAGAATTAAAGCAAGTCCTGATCATAGGCATCTGTTGAGAAGGTAAATTTCAAATGTGAGTGAGGAAAAAGAAAAAAAAGAATTGCTTACCTGTCTGATTTTGGCAGTAAACAGGAGAGAAAGAAATATCATCCAAGGCAACATATCCTCCTTTGGGACCATTGAAAGCAACTTCAAAAATAATCTATAGAGGAAAATGATATAGTGTGCTATAGGTTTACATATTTTTTGTTAGGCTTAAGTGCTTTCATCGCTGATTTAAAATGATGTGTCAATAAGCTAGGAGATGCCAAGTTATAAATACTTAAGGAATCATGTTCCTACACAGAGGTGTTCGGGCAGCTCCCTCCTCAATCCACAGTCTCTTTTAGGAAAAGTAAAGACTAAGCCCTAAGTTGTATTTTATCGGTGAACTTTATCCTCTCCCTTGACTGTCAGCTAAAGTGCCCACGTCACTTTTCTGATAGAACTACCAAATTGACAATTTGCATTATGAACTTGAATGAAAGGAACAACAGGTTACTTGCAAACAGCAGACTAGGTTCGCTTCGTGCACTGCACAGAGGACTAAGCCCCTCTAAGGCCCTTGCCCTTTCTCATACATGAAATTCTACGCAAGGGTCCAGGACAAAATGCGACAATCAGTTCTGATGGCTAAGGCATAATCAGCCCCAGAAATTCTACACATGGATATCAGAATTCCAGGCATGTTTGAATGGTTAGAAAAAACATAGGGTTAATGAGTTCGACCCCTTTAATTTTGCCTTCTCTCACTCTGAGTTCAATGAACCACCTTCTGCCTGTGACCACGGGGATCGGGTGTGCTGAGCACAGCATTCACCTGTATCAGGAAAACCACCCAAGTACAAAGCCTGCTCTTGTGAATTGATAGCATGAGAAGATGCAGTGTTTAGTAGAGGCTGAAACTCAAATGCCTACAAGGTCCGGGCAGGTCATGACGTGGGCTTGGTGTGACGTGGCAGGAAGGGTGCAGACTGTGGTGAAATGGAGAGCCCCAGCCCTGCCCGGAGGGGGCGGCTACCCCTTTGTCAACTGCGGACGAGTGGGGATTCAGGCCTAATATGTCTGGATCTACCAAATGGTCAAGAGGACCTAAACGTCTAGATTTTTACTTGAATGGATTTTTTAATGTTGGCAATTGATTTAGAAATTAAAACGAAGTAAACAACAAACAAAGACAAAAAACCAAATATCACTATAGCAGCAAGGCAAATTATTGGGGGCAAGATTTGACTCATAGGCTTCTAGTTTTAGGCCTCTTCTGAAACGAATAATGTCTTGGAGGCAGACAGACCAGAGTTCAAATCCCATTTCCATTGGTTACTAGCTTAGTGACCTCGGGTACATTGTTAAACCTCCCAGTGCCTCTCTTTTCTTATTTATAAAATAGGTAAAATAATACTTACCTTGTAAGACTGTTGAGATTACATGAGAAAATGTATATAAAGATCCTAGCACACAGAGTCAGGTGTACAACTAAATTCACGCCTTGTTCTCCCCAGGCTGACCGGTCTTGAACTCACATTCAGACCTGGGCCCAGGTCGCCACTAATTAGCTCGAACAGGCCCCTTCTTTTCTCTGGGTTTCAGTTTCTCCATTTTTTGGAAGGGAAAAAAAAAGAGCTTGGGCAAGATGATTCCTAAGGTCTCTTTCAGCTTAACAGCAATAGTCCTGCAGAGGCTTGTACCTGGACTTCACAAAATCCAAGAGCAGGCCTGAAAGTTTGTCTCTGGCAAGGTGAGAAGTGCAGAGAACAAAGGGAACAGATGTGGGCAATGTGAAGGGGCAAATGAAGTTTTACACTCTTAACACTGCTCCATGCAACCTGATAAAGAAAGTGAATGGCAGAACTTATCTTAGTGAGCAGGCCAAATAAGAATGTTATCTTGGATCGGGATATGCTAATATGCTCTTCGCAGCCAATGTGCCACTCTTCCGCTCAGAAAGAGGGTCTCAAATGCTTGTTTTCCTTTTTAAAAATTCATTGGAATATATGATGGCATTAAATTCACCAATTTCTGCAGGATATGTCTCTTTTCCTGGCAATTACTGAGAGCAAATAATCCTAGCATAATGAGTTCAGACTACTGGAGCAAAATCATCACACATGTGCGTGAATCAAAAGGCTATATATTAAAGTTTAGTACTGCCCTGAATTGTAACATTTCAGCTTTAATTTAAAAAAGAAATGGGTGATGTCTCAGCCATACAAATGTTGCCCAATGAGTTTATGGTTGGGTGGAAGAAGTTCACAAAGAAAATGTTATCAGTGTGTGTGTGTGTGTGTGTGTGTGTGTGTGTGTGCGCGCGCGCGCGCTATTTGACCTTAATTGAAATAAAAAATTTCTGAAGCAGTATGTGCATTTCTCTTTTTCCTTGTACCCCAAGCTCACAGAAGATTTTCCACTGGGCTGCAAGAGCAAATTGAGGCCTGGTGAGCCTTTGGGATAGGAAATAGCACACATATTGCAAAAGGCACGGTGCTCTCTCTGGGGCTGTATAGGGTGGGGGTGGGGGGATGGGGCAAAGGGGGATCTGAGGAGGGTCAGGGGAGTGGCAGGCTGTCCGCAACCCTGGCACTCTCGGACGCTCCACATCAGGGGAGCAGATGACACCACTGAAAAGCAGAGGATAATCCACTCCTTTTACACTTTAAAGGGAACCGGGAAAGATACTGCAAAAAGGGCAAAGTGACAAGAAAGGGACGGTAACAACCTACGGTAAATAGGACTACTTGGAGCTCCAAATCTGCAGCCACAATGCTGCCCTCACTGACTGCAGAGGTCCTATGGGGTCCTCAGACAGAGCTAAGCCTCCTCCTCCAGCTTTCGGTCAGATTTTAGTCCAGGAACTTTTCTAAGTGCCCTGGCACTCAACAGCTGTGTGACCTAGATAAAAGATGACAAACTTCTTAGACTCTCCATTTCTGCTTTCTCGTCTGTAACATGGGGGTATTTATATTTACTTTGGTGGATTGTTGTAAGGTCTAGAATACGTATATAGATATAAATATGCATTAATATATGGGCTTAGAAAAAAGACCTTTCAAGGACAAACACCAAAATGTTATAGTTCTCATCTTTGCCTTGTTGGCCCAGGCTGTTTTAGTTTGTTTTGCTTTCCTGCATTTTCCAATTCTTCTGCATCAGAAATTTATCACTAACAAACTAAAAAAGTTTTAAAACTCAAGCACCAAGGCTTGTTTCAAATTTGGATCACAGTCATAAATTTCTTTCTGATATTTATGACATTATTTATACTATAAAGGAGAAAAGAAGAATTTTTTTTTCTAGAAAGACTATTCCCTCACATAAGGGAATAGAAATAACCTTCCTTATAACATTCTTTCATAACTGCCCTCAGGAATGAAAGTTTGAGAGTGACTTTCACTTAGGAGGCATTGATCTCCTTTGACCTTCCTATAACCATAGTGCAAGGTTCAAAGGGAGAGTGTGCCCCTAAAGTCTAGTTGGTTGACTGGCTTTTCCATATTTGTCCTTAGAAAAAAATAGCCTTGTTAGCAAATGAATGTGATGAAGGAGGAAGGCAGAAGGGAATATAAAGGAAGGGAGGGAGGTGGAGGAGGCTGAGAAAGTGAAAAGAAAAAAAAGATTGAGACACAGCCCAAAAGAAAGAATGAGTGTGAGATGCCGCGCCTCCTGATCTCCATGCCTCTGTGTGGGCCAGCCCTGCACAGCGGCCCGTCAGGGCACACCTGGAACACCTACCTCCATGGGGTACGGAGCGTTGAACTCCACTTCGGCGAGGTTCCAGGCAGGATTCTCTGGAGCGTTGGTTTTCCATATCTCCTCATAAACACCGGCCACATCCCGAGTATAAAGAGAGAAGACGTTGTCATTGCCCTGCTGGAGCTGGTAATAAAATGACAGGCAGCCAGACATTGGGGCCGTGGTCATCGGGGAGATGAGCTGCGCCACCTCCTGGAAGTGCTTGATGTAAACCGAGTCCACATACATGTAGTGGCCTGAAAACCACACAGAGAAAACACAGCATGAGACAGGCTGGGGGATTTTCCGATGAAATGGTGGGACTCTGGGATTTACTTTGAAATTATCCAGTGAGCGTGGTGGAGAGGAAGCAAAAGGGTTACAGATGAAAGCAGTTTGGCCATGGATTGATGAATATTGAACCTTGAAGACAAATACATGGGGTTCATTGTGCTCTGCTAAATGCAAGGTAAGGACCATTCTTTTTTATTTCCTTACTTTTGACTGAAGCGAACATACATTTAGAAAGGTAGATGTATCATCTGTAAAGTGCTTGAGTTTTCACAGCCTGAACACAACTGTGGAAAGAAGCAGAACCCCAGAAGCCCCCTTCCTCCAAGCCGCCTTTGGGTTAATAAGGTTTCTAAGAACATATCAAGCATTCCATCTGTCCTTAAAAGACATAGAAGGACCTTCTTATACACCTTTACAATACATACAAAGCGTCACTGCACCTTCTTTGAATGAAACTAAGATTTTTGAATTCATAAGGAGTGACAAGTTGTATCCCTTTAACAGAACAAGTAGGTCAATCAACATTGCAGATAGGGTTAGGATTTGAAGGTCAAACTTGTGATACCACTCTTGGGAAGGCTTCAGTGGGCTTTGGACCTAGAGGCTGACCTCCATTAGAGACATTTTGGTGAAACTGAGAAATGGTGAGGCAGAAGGGGGAGGAGCCTGGATTTGGCCATTGAAAGTACTAAATTTGAATCCTGCTCTACCTCTCACTAGCCCTGTGACCTTAAGTAAAATACTGAATCTCTCTGGTCTTCAATGCCCTGATCTCTAGAATGAGCATCAAATACTTTTCTCATTAGGTTGATATAAGTATGAAATGAGATTATGTATATGAAGTGTTTATCATATGCCTGTCACATTGTAATTGCCTAACATAATTATAATGAAATAAAGTAATGCCATTATGGATTCTAATACCATGTTCCCCCTACTGTCTGTTTAATGTAAAGTTGAAGCTATTTTTATTAACAATTTTGTCTGAATTTATTTAAGCTGCAACGACAGAGGAATGCTATGCAATGTAGCTTCCATAGGCTGTCCTTCTATTTGCAAGCTCAAAACAACTACAGCCTAATATTTTTATCTTTATTACATTATGCCTCGTTGATGAGAATCCCTTTTATCTTTGGCAAAATAGGAATATATGCATTCACACACTGGACACTTTGCCTCTAGCACTGCCCAGTATGTGGTAGCCCTTCAACCAATGGTTATTCAAAGCACAAATATGGTCTCAGAAAGGTCCTCACCTCAACAAGGCAGAGGAGAAAGATGGACAAATCAAAGCTTATTTCCTCCTGGTAGCAAGTTGTTCAACCCCTTGAATAACCTTTCTTGTTTAAACCTCATTTTTCTTATCAACTCACCAAGTCTTGCAACTGTGAATAAATGGGGATCACAAACTCAGGTGCTCAGAAAGCCAACTGGATCAATTATATGATTTAAGTAGATTGGGTCAGAGAGAACAAAAAGGAGGGTAGTAAATTAGTTGCCAATATTCGAAATCATATTCATCAGCAGTGAGGAACAGAAATCAAGCCTCTCTGGAAAACTCAGAAAATCTGGTAGCCCTGGGCCCATGTTCTCTCGCTGCAGCAAGCGGCTGGTGGCAAAAGCGGCGGCCCCTTGCTGGACCTGTGTCCTCCAGCCCATCCTGAGAACCCGTCCCTCTCCTCCCAGCTGATGGCCTGACATCCAGGCTGTTGCTGCAGGCTTTTCCCACTGGAGCTCAAAATACAGATTTTTATCACAAATCTATCTATTTTAAGTGATATCCTTGTTTTGGTTTGCTAAGGCTGCTATAATAAAGTACCACACACGAAGCAGCTTCAACAACGGAAATTTATTGTCTCACAGTTTTGGAGGCTAGAAGAATAAGGTTAAGGTATCGAAAGGATTGGATTCTGCTGAGGGCTGCAAGGAGAAATCTGTTCCAGGCCTCTCTCCTTGTTCCAGGGGTTGGCTGGCCTTACCCAGGTTCTGCCTCTGTGTTCGCCGGATGTTCTCCCTCTGTGCGTGTCTTCCTCTCTCTCCAAATCTCCCCTTTTCATAAGGACACCAGCCATACTGGATTTTGGGCCCACTCTGCTTCAGGATGACCTCATCTTAACTAATATCTACAACAATCCTATTTCTAAATAAGGTCACATTCTGAAGTCTGGGAGTTAGAACTTCAACATATGAATTTTGAGGAAATACAATTCAACCCACAATACCTTCCACCATAATTTTTAAAACTTTGTGTCAGTGCCAAATAAACATATCTGCAGGCTGGAAACAGCTGATGGAAACCCAATTTGCCATCCCGGAGAGAGATTTTAAAGGAAGAATCAGAATGGCAGACTGAACAGAATCAAAGAACCTCTGATACGCAAGGAAGGCCATGCTCCGATGCCCTCTTAGCTAAACGAATACAATAAAATAATCTTTTATTTTTCAATTACAGCTGAGATACAATATTGTATTAGTTTCAGGTTTATAACTCAGTAATTGGACTTTATATAACATACAAAGTGATCACCCCAATATACCTAGTACCCCTCTGACACCATACATAGTTCTCACAATATTACTGACTATATTCCCTATGCTGTACTTTACATCCCTGTGACTATTCCGTAACTACAATTTGTGCTTCTTAATCCCTTCACATTTTTCACCCATCCTCCCAACACCCTCTTATCTTTTACCCAGTCCCCCAACTCGATCCTTCTCCTGCCACCCCAGCGACCACCAGTTCTCCAGAGAGGAACTTTTTAGTGCCCTTGGTAATAATGTCTTATCAATGAAACAATCTCTTTCCAAGATATGCCACTGGGGGAACCGGGTAGAAGAGCTATAATACCTTGTTCACCTGGTACCTCATTGTGGGGGCATGGAGGTGGGCTGCTGACATTTCCTTCATTTGAACTTGCTGCATGGACCACAGCTGACTGACAGCCACCTGCTGACTCACATGTGGATCCACAACAGTGTTTGTGCCAAGGCCACACCATACTGGGCTGTTCTCAGCCAGCGGCCAAGCCCAGCAGGGGTACCAGAGCAGGGCCAGTCTCTGTGACACGGGGCTCCTTGGCAGCTCCCCATGGGCCCAGCTCCTCCCCTTCATGGGCATCAGCCTTCCGTCTGGTGCTGCAAGCTCTCCCACCCAAGGCTGCATCATGGCTTTTGTGGAGCCTAGGCATGGGCACCTTTCTCCATAAAATGCATTAAAAATTGTATGTTATAACTGCATTGGTATAATGATAAATATAACCTAGGACTCATATTTGTTGTCATTACATTCACTTTTATTTTGATTTTAAAATAAATAAAATATAAACATTCTCATAGATCCCTAAAAATATCATGGTGCCTACGTACTGGGACTGCCATGCCTAATGGATACACTGACCTGGCCCAGCTCCTCCAGCTCTCTCCCCAGTTATCCCTCACAGTCATTTCCCCTGGTTAATCCCTGTCACACCTGACTCACACAGCCATGAGCAGGGAAATCATTCCACCCAGTGTGGGGAACACCTCCAAAGACCCTCAGAGACCCTCAGTGTATCTGGGAGAGAGCTCACAAATCCACTTGAAATTACTCATTCTACTTCCAGAGTGCATGATAACTTGCTCAGGGAAATGTCTCAGACCCTGTCCCATTATGCATTATCTTCCTCAGAGTTGTCAGAAATCTGACCATCTTCTTTAAAGGCTAGTTACTCACCTGCTGTGTGAACAATATTTTAACTCCTGAATTTGCAGTTAAAGCCCCTCATTAAAAACACATGCATAAGGTACTAGGCCAACTGAGCCACAATCATATTTCTGACCCAAGAGAACATCCAGCAAACATAATGTGATCTGCCCAGAGTGAGTCAGAGAGACTTCTGGGAATAAGGACAGGACTGCTGACAAGCCTATTATGGAACCACTAGACTAGACCACATACTGCTTCCCCTCAACCCCCCCGCCGCACAGCCTGGCTCCTATCACTCATTCCTTGCTGTTGTTGGGTACTGTTTACTGACAACCTGAATAAGACTGTTTTTCACTGGAAAATAAAGGTAGCTCATCATAAGTTTATCATCTCAGTTGAAGGGGCAGGGGTGATACAAGAATCACCAGGTGTCTTCCCAGGCTGAGTGTGTGTCATTGTTGGGTACAACCTGCTCTGATCAAACAGTTGGCTAGTTGTGGACACCATGTTGTGTACCATTTCAAGGGGAATGAAAAAGGTAGCCTGGAGTTCTCATGAAATTGTGTGTAGTGTCTGGTATTATGAGGATTTTCCTGCTTAGTTCAATGAGGCCAACCCTCCTATCTGGTTCTAGAGCCTCCAGAATTTCTGGGAGAGGCAATTTTTATTAGATCCTTTAAGTGTGAGTAGGATGAAATGAGGTATAGACAGACCCTATGTAGACAGGATCCAATAATCCACCAAATCATTGGGGACCCTATAGGCCACCAACATTTGTAAGTATTATATTTTAATTGGAAATGAAGGTCTATGAAAGAGACAATGGGTTCCCCACAAGATTAAAAATTGAGAAGTTTGTTGCTGCTCTTCTAAAGTCTGTGCTCCTTTGCCACACTCTAGCTGGGAGCTGGTCTATTTCCCCTTAAGTCTGGATTATACACTAAAAGCCTGCAGTTTCTAGGGGAAAGACACAATTTCCAATTCTGTTGAAGGACCAAAGCTCTCAGCGATGCCAGCCAGAGCCCAGACCCCTCTGGCAGCAACCGCACATGCGCACCTTCCTCCTCTCCTGCAGCAGCCCCTGGGTTGGCTCGACTTGTCCTGGGGAACGAGTGGCCCCTGCGAGTTCACCATTTTCCCTTGAATTAGGAAAGGAATTTTGAGGGAAGTCCCTAACTTTTATATTCAAACAGTCTGGCTAACCAGGATTCCACAAAGATTGCCCTTGGCTTGGCTGCCAGGCCTGAGGCGTTCTCTGACTCAGCTGTGATTCCG